TGCTCCATAAAGTTATATATCAGTTGTCTTAACTCTGTCAAGAATGTTTTTCCTGAGTTGTGGGACCGCCTGGGACCAGAAACAACCAATGAGCGTGGATTATACAGAAAGCCCTTTCAGTGGCTCTGATTGGCAGGTTAGATGTGCAGCCTGCTGAGCTGTTCCAAAGCTCAGACTACAGACAGGAGATTATGACTCAGCTTGTCCTACTGCTTTTTCATTTTTGTGACCACATCTGGGAGAGAGCCTTCTAAGAGGAAAATGCTTCCTTGCAAGTGCATAAGGGGGTGGACATCTGTCCTAACCTGGCAAAGTCTGCTTTATCCAGTTCTAATATTATTACAATATTATTTTTCTGCACAAAGAAGTGGACCTGGATGGTATGTATCACACCATGAAAATGTTAGTAAACAGCTTAAAATTCCAGTAAGAGTAAGACATTGCTCATAGCACTTGATGTTCCCCTTTCTATGGATTAGGTATCACTGTGTACATTGATATAGCACTACCATTTTCACATCAGAATATAAAACCAGCTGTGTGTGGTGTGGCACATGTCTGTAATTCCAGCACATGGGAGGCTGAAGCTGGATAATCCTGAGTTCGAGGTCAACCTGGACTACATACTGAGACCCTGGCTTTCATAAACACCAAAAAAAAGGATACAATCACAGGCATTTACAAACTTTTGATAATTAAAAATTTACATGCAGTGTCAGGAGCAGCTTCAGATTTGGGAGCATTTTGGATTTGGGATTTTCAGATTAGGGATGTTCAACCTGTAAATTGAACCACGTGACTCGAAACAACAGAAGTTTATTCCCTCACAGTTCTGGAGTCCAGAATAGAAAATGAAAGCGTCAGCAGGCCTGGCTGGTTCTGAGACTCCAGTAGAACGCTTGCCTGCATCCTTCATGCAGATGACTGGTGCCAAACAATCCTTGGTGCCCCTGGCTTGCAGCTGCCTCCTTCCACCCTCTGCCTCTGGTCACTTCGACATCATTTGTCTGTGTCTCTGTCTTTGTATCACATTGTCTTCTCCGTGTGTATCTTCTTTTTACAAAGACATCAGTTGTTTTGGGTCACAGCCTATCCTGGTGACCTCACTTGAACTTGACTAAGTCTGTACAGTAAAGATGCTGTTCCTGGTTCCGTTCACAAGTACCAGGGTTAGCACTTCAACCTATCTCTTTGAGAGACACAGATCAATCAGTAACCCTGAGTGAGACTTGAGAATGGTGTGGAGGTGTGGTTTGGACGGACAGTCGCAGGCTGCCTGAGGTGAGGGAGCAACCCCTGAGGGTGCTGGAGAGGCTCTGCACAGGCCAGGGGCACAAATGCGACAGCTCAGGGAGGCAGGAGGATGGTTAGTTGTGAGGCAGGAGGTGGCAGAGGCTTATAGAGAACAGGGAGACTTTGTGCTTTCCTCCCAATTAGAGGAAGGGTCCTCAGCAGAGAATTGCCCTTGGTCTCACTTACGTTTTCAAAGTTTAGAGTGCTTGGGCAAAAGCCAGGCAACTACTTACCAGATGGTTGAATAGTCTGGCTGAAGAGAAGCCTGGTCCAAAGTGGTGGTAGCGGATGGAAGGGAAATAATGTGAGTCTGTGCAGATTCTGTTTTGAAGTTGAAACCAAAAAGATTTGCTGCTGAATGGGATATGGCTTAGGAGAAAAAGTAAAAGATCAAGTGAAGACTGATTTCTTGAGCAACTGGGTGAGAAGAGCTGTGGTTACCGACAGAGGGAGCCCTGGGGAAGGGGCCGGGCTGAAGGGCATCTAGAGGTCAGTTTCAGACGTGTTAAATTTGAGATGTCTGCTGACCTGCAGTGGCAGCGCTGAGTAAGCAATGGAATATTCACACCTGGAGATCAGAGGTAAAATCAATGCAAAGCAAGGCCTGCTTTCAGCTTGCAAATGCTGCTAGAGCCAAGCAGAGCAGCGAGAGGTACCACAGAGAAGGAGTGAGTCAGAAGTTGGCCAAGACTAAGCCCTAGGACTCAGGTCTGTCAGGAAAGAAAGAGGAGGAAGAGCTGCTGAAGAAGAGACTACAGAGTGGTCCAAGGCTAAGAAGCCCAAGACAGCATGATGCCCTGGAAGCCAAATTTTTGGGAAGAGTCTACAGCTGTGTTCTAGATGTTCTGAGAAATGCTTCAAATTCTATCCTGGGATAGAAGGAGCTGTTTGTCTGCTATTTTATGAAAATGATTCTTTGATAAGTGGTAATAGGGTTTCTTTTGGAATAGGGTTTTCAAAGGAAGTAGGGAATGGAAAGGTTCTGATCTTTCTACTTTTTATATTCCTAGTCATTTTCCCGCATATTCAGCTTTGTTCTTGGAAAAGTGTGTGTATTCCCGTGAGGCTTTTGTGAAAGAATGGAAAAATGAAAGTGGATGTGTCTCAGTCTATACTGGGGGAAACACCTAAACTATTCAAGTTTCTGTGTGCTTGTTTTCATACTGCCCTTAGGAAGGAAAAAATTAACAACTGTAGCTCTTCGATATAAATGACTATGTTTAACCTATAAATCCCCCTCTAGCAGCAAAGACTCTTCTAATGACTTTATTTTCTCCTCCAACCCAATTCTATGGAATTAGAGAGGTTTATAGCCAGGTAACTTTCCCTGCTGCCTTTTGTTTTGTCAGTGTGAGTTTTGGACCACCTCTTCTCATTTAGGGATGCTACTATATGCCTTGGAAAATCATCTTGGCCCTGCGACGTTGTCCCAGCATCAAGTTCTCTTTGGCTTGGAATGTGTTGTTAAGGGCTGGGCTGTTAAACAAAGAACTCACTTAGACAATGACCTCCTCCCCCGCCTTCCCCCCCAACTATGTGTGTGCAAATAATGTGAAATTGCAATCATATTTTAATATTTAAGTGCATGAGCAGTGGCATGAGCCAGGACAAGCTCTAGACTTGCAGTCAAAGGATCTGACTTTTTTTACTACCTCTTGATGAACTGGGATGAACTACTTGGTATCTGTAAATGGAAAAATAGCTACAGCACTTGGCTTCTGCCACTAGCTTATCATGGAGTCACAAGAGATAACCATGAAACAAGTAGAACTTAAGTAGCATTTACTATGAGTCAGGCACTATTCTCAGCATTGTAAATGTATTACCTCATTTAATTTTCACAATAATCCTTGAGATAGTTATTATTACTTTTATCTTCAATTTACAGATGATGAGGCACCTCAGACAAAGAGAGCAAGTAACTCTCTAGGGCCATACAGTTAGTAAGGGACAAGCTGGGACTTGCAGTCAAAAATATTTTGTAGTCTGAATTTTGCCACCTATTTCTCTATAAAATTTACTATGTGATTGTCTCAAAACAGAGTTGTGATGGATTGTCATTTTCACTTTTTTACCATATAAATTCTTATACTTCTAAGGCTTTGGAATAGAACTAATTTACTTAGGCCAAAGTCGTGGTTTTTTTTTAAAGTTTGAGAGAGTGCTTAGGAGTCACTATTTTTACTCTCTGGGTGTCTGTAGGTCCACTAGGCGTGTGTGTGTGTGTGTGTGTGTGTGTGTGTGTGCTGAACCCAGAATCTTATCAAAATGTACACTTTACCATTAGGCTACCCTCCCAAGTCTTTAGGCTGACTTCTTAACTTAATGACTTTACCATCAACCATTGATCAATTCTGTAGTCAGGCCACTGGTCACAGGCAATGACACAGTTAAATCAACTGGTGGGCCTTTTTGGTCAAAAGGCCAAATTACTTAGCAGATATGTGAGTACATACTATCCATAACCAGATAAGCTAATGTTCCCGAGTAGTATAGGCGCATAAAATCTGAGAGCTCAGAACTCAGACAAGTAGCACTGGTGGCTGAAGTTTCATAGGATTTATAGGAGGGTATTGTCATTTCGATCACTTGAATTCTTGTTATCTGATAAAGAAAACACACCAAATTAGACATCAATCCAGAGGTCCACTAATCTCATAGGTGTGGTGTGACTTTATTATTTTAATCCACAGCCTGAAGACTTTACCTAGCTGATTCACTGGGATTCCATAAGTTTGGATGTCTTTGCTATTCTGTGGGCAGATGTCAGGTTACTTTTTGAGCTTATGCAGACAGATGAGCCAACTAAAACTTAGGTATATCGTGGCCTTTCATCCTTGCTGGGTGGATGCAGTCGTGCAGCTGAGATTTTTGGAGCCCGGTGACTTGCAGAAGGGCAGAACAGCAGGAGCTACCCGGCCTGGGTGCAGACAATAAGGAATATATTGTCTGGAGCCAAGGCAAAAACAGTAAGGACGCCAACTTAAAGTAGGTCAGCTTTTTATTATCACTGTTTGCCAGCGACTCTCAACAGTGTTGGTGATGATGTACGCCTCCTCCAAAAGTGTGTTGGCTGAACTCTAAACCATTACCACAGTTAACTTGAGTTTTAATAAGGTATGTGTAAGCTTTAAGTTAGCACACATTTAGGATTTATTCCTTAAGAAGCCTCATATTCTACATGGACATTGTCAGCCCCTGACGAACATAGACACCACCCTTTTTGAAAGGGTTCCTAATGGCTCAAAATCTTTTGAGTACACTTCGGGTGCTGTTTGAGTACCCAGTCTTGTGAGACTACATATCTCTGCATTGAACTAATGGGTTCAGTGTGAACAGTGAAAACACAGGGATTGCTCAGGTCAGAAATAGACCGAGGGGCTTCAGTCCAGCCCTTCTATGTGACCATGATTGTGAGAAAGTGTGGACACGAGGAATGATATTTTGTCTTGTAAAGGCAAATTGTAGTTCACACATAATATATTCCACTAAATTTGAATAATATCTTTGAAGCTGAAGTATATGCCTTTTAATTGTTGTTTTAAAACTAAAGAATGCATCAAAAAACAGTGATTATTGTATGATTATGACTGAAAATAATTGTGACCGGGGAAGTGGGTAGTATCAGAAAGTTCTCAGTGCCGGGTTTCAGTTACTCTGGGAATGCCACTGCTATTACCCACTGCTGTCCCCTCACTTTTATACAGTTGCCGGCCAACATCCTCCCAAAAACAAGCACCCAAAGGAGCAAGGAGAGAACAGAATCAAACCTACCAACAAAAGGGTGAACCCCAAAGTTCCCAAAATAAAAGACAGGGATGCAGCTGATTCAATACCAAAGAATCAGTTTATCATGATGCAAGTGACAGACAAAGGTCGCTTCCAGAGACCTGCTGCTACCCTGAGTCTGGTGGCTGGGCAGCCTGTAGAGCTTCGATGCAAAGGAAGTAAGATTGGATGGAGCTACCCTGCCTATCTGGAGACTTTTAAGGACTCGCGCCTCAGGTAAGCATGTTCTCATTTTCTACTGGTCTGGGCCAAAGGTTTGCTTTTGTTCCCTCCTTCAATATTGCATCATTTCTGACAACTACCATCTCACCCTAAAAGGTGATAAAAATGGAAGCTTAAAGAACAAAAACCGTAACTGTTATGTCTTCTCATGATTAAAAAGTTGTTACAAAACCTACAACAGTGTTTGAAGGGATGAAATTTTATAAAACACCACATGGCAAGAATAAATTTTTATAGGAAACCAAAATTTTATAGGAAGTTGTAATGCACAGGATACTTAAAATATTATGTAGTGAAAAATCATGTACTCAGTGTTTTGTGCTAATTTTTAAGTAATCATAATGAAAACTGAAATGCCCTGGTAAGATCCCTATGAGGAAATTAATCAGAGATTAACTTTAGCTACTTCTTAACTTTTCATATGCTTCTGATCATTTTTATTTTTGTGAATGAATAAGACCTCATTGGTAAGAAGACCAAAGATTTCTCATGTTTAAACCAGTCTTTGTTAGGTGTAGTGACACACCCCTATAATCCTAGACCTCTGAGAAGCTGAGGCAGGAGGAGCACAAATTCAAGATCAGCCTGGGCAACTTGGCAACTTAGCAATACCCTGTCTCAAAATAAGAAATAAAGAAGTGTAGCTCAGTGCAGAGGCCCTGAGTTCAATCCCCAGAAATACACACACACACACACACACACACACACACACACACACACACACACACAGTTCCTTTAGGAAGCTGATGATAAGAAAAAGTGGTTAAAATGATGATGATGAAAAACTGTGTAAAGCTAGGCATGATGGTGCACACATGTAACCCCAGTACTTGGGAGGCTGAGCCAGGAGGATTGCTGCAAGTTCAAGGCCAGGCTGACTACACAGTCAGACCATGTTGGGGGGTGGGGAGAGAAGAAAACTGTGGTAAGACCCTGTCTCAAAAAATGAAAGAAAGAAAGAAAGAAAGAAAGAAAGAAAGAAAGAAAGAAAGAAAGAAAGAAAGAAAGAAAGAAAGAAAGAAAAAGAAAGAAAGAAAGAAAGAAAGAAAAAGCTGTATGAAAAGTGGTGGAAGAAATGGGTAGCTCAGTGGCAGAGCCCTTACCTGTTATGCATGGAGACTTGCGTTCAGTTCCAGCACTACACAAAACAGACACAACTGCACAAAGCAGAAAAGAAGGACATGCTTCAGAGGAAGTGAAAGGAGCCCTAACTAATGGCTGTGGGATGAACGGATGTGTTTGAGGTTAGAGTCCTGCATATCTTTGGAGAGGTCCTCTAAAGTCTTTGAGTCTTGGTTTCCTCGTTTTTAGGATGAAAGAAATGGGATACCATGATTTTGAAGATTCTTTCCTCACTATTTTTTGTGAATTATAATGGAGAATTATAGGGTACTGTGTGTTTGGGATGAGTAGAATGAAGGGAAAAATGTTACCAGCAGGCATCTCAACTCTGGTGCTCAGCCAGGCATGGTGGCACACATTTGTAATCCCAGAACTTTGGGAGGCTGAGGTAGGAGGACTGAAAGTTTGAGCCCAGCCTGGGCAACTGAGTAAGAATCTGTGTCAAAATTAAAAAATAAAAAAAGGTGTGGGAAGGAAGAAGAGGGGAAGGGGATATAAAAAGAATTAAGATGTTTTATGTACCTGGGCCCACTGCCCATAATGAGTGTGATCACTCAGTACTGCAAACGTGGACTACTAACTGTTAAAACAAAAATGAAGGAAAGAAAGAAAGGGAGAGAGAAAGAGAAGAGCTGGGGTTGTAGCTCAGTGTGAAGACTCTGGGTTTAACGCCAGTACCTTAAAACAAAAACAAAACAAAACAGACCTCTACACGTTTTGCATGTTCGTGATTGCTCCGTATGCCCAGCCAGGACCCACAGGTCCATCCTTCAGCAGAAATCAGCAGCATCCTTGCCTTTTAAGCCGTCTGCCCCTCACTCCCCTCCTTCGGTTGTCATGAAGGTAAGTCAGCCCTTCAAGAGCCATTGAGCGGTCCTCTTCCATGTCATGTCACGTCCCGGATCCTGCAGCAACCAAACCGGGGCTCATCCTCTTTCTGTCCCAGTCTCCTGGCCATACGGTGATGCTTAAGATGGCACAGCTGATCTCATCCCCACACAGCAGGACGTCATCCCCTCCCAGCACTGAGACCATCTCTAATCTTTAGTGTCCTGTCCCGTCCTATGTCGTGTGTGTGTTTGTGTGTGTGTGTGAGAGAGAGAGAGAGAGAAAAAGAGAGAGAGAGAGATCTACCAATATCCCTGTTTTCATTGGCCTGGGATTCTGGCAGATTCACAAAATCTCAAGGTTATTACCCACTATAGGCCAGCCTGGGCCTTTGTTTCTAGTGTACCCGGCATTTCTTCTCTCCAGCTCTCTTCAGACTCGTACCTCCTTATGTTTTAGTTTTTTGTTTGTTTGGTTTGTTAATTGATTGGTTTTTTGAGACAGTATTGCTGTATAGTCCAGGTTGTCTATGAACTCACTCTGTAGCCTAGACTGACCTTGAACTTGATGATCCTCCTATCTCAGCCTCCCAAGTGCTAGTATTATAGGAATATGTCACCACACCCAGTTTCTCTCTTATTTTATTTTACTTTATTTTATTTTATTTTATTTTATTTTATTTTATTTTTGTCTTTTTGAGACAGAGTCTCACTATGCAGTTCAGTCTGGCCTTGAGTGCACTTTGTAGCCCAGGCTGGTCTCGAACTCACAACGGTCCTCCTGCCTCAGCCTCCCGAGTGCTGGGATTACAGGTGTGTGCCACCACACCTGGCTATCTCTCTTTTTAATATGTGATGTTTACTGAGAGTTATCTGAGTCCTTGGTATTTATTTTCATCTATTTAATCACAATGATGTAATACCTTCTCATTTTCCCAGTATGTTTGCTCTTCTTTAACACATGGACATCTTAGAGGATAAATTAATTACAATGCACATAAAGTCAGTCAGTCTGTCTGTCTGTCTATCTACCTATCTGTTTATGTATCATCTTGTATCACGGCCTCTTTCATGTGTCTATATTGACAATGCTCTGGCATCACAGATATAATTTAGAGTCCTACATAAGGTTTAATAGATTGGATGAGGAACAGCGAGTGAGAGAGCCAGTCAGTTTTCAGTTTTCCCTTTCCCTCTCCACAGTGTGTGTGTGTGTGTGTGTAAGAGAGAATGTATGTTTACACTTGTTGGAACAAATTTGGAGATTTGCTAGTACTGTGTATATACATATGACTACACATGTGTGGGTTAAAAACACATAACATAAATTTACCTTCTTAACAATTTTTTTTCCAGTGATGTTAGGGATGAACCTGGGGCCTCACACTTCCTGGGCAAAGTGCTGTACCACTAAACTATACTCCGGCCTCCCTTCATAGTTTTTCAGTGTAAAGAAGAGTATTATTAACTACATATATGCATATGTTGTACAGTTGATCTTCTGAACTTTTTCATCTTGCATGATTGAAACTGTGACCCTTGAACAACTCTCATTTGTCACCCCTCATACCCCAACCCCTGGCAGTCAACATGCTGCTCTGTTTATGAGTTTGACTACTTCAGATTCCCTATATAAGTGGAATCTTACACTATTTGTCTTTGTGATTGGTTTATTTCACTGAGCATAATGTACTCAGGGTTTATCAATGTTGGAACATGACAGGATTTTTCTGTTTGTTTGTATGGTTGGTCGGTTTTATGCAATGCCCAGAACTCAACTGTTTAAATTGCTTCTGCATTTTAGCTATTATGAGCAATACTGGAGTGAACCTGAATGTACACATATATCTTTAAGATACTGTTTTCAGTTCTTTTTGGATACATACCCAAACATGAAATTTATCATACGTATTTAAATGACCTAATTTACCAAAATGGGGTTTATCCAATTTGTAAAACCAGAATTTAGATAAATTACTCTGAATATTTTATCTTTGACTTTAACAACATATACTAAACCTATAGGATTTGGTGCTTGAAGATTTAGTATTTTCGAAATTACGTCTAAACTGTATTTTGAAAGATGTTTGCAAACATTTAAAGGACTCAAAACGAAGTAAGTATGAATATGATTTGAAGAGAAATGCCCAAGGGCTGGAATTGTTTTGACTTTTTAATATTAAATAACATTCATTTGATGCACAGTAGGGGCCTTATAAAAAAGTAAAGACAGATGTGGGTCCCCAAGGAGTTCATAAACCAAGTAAAAAATGTGAAAAATATCTAGTCATAATCCTGTATAAAAAAAAAAAAAAAAAAAAACACAAAAAATCATGATTTTTTTGACACCAGAGAGTCAACAAACAGACTCTTGACATTGCTCCCAGAATGTGGTACCTTTGGACAGTGCAGAAAGTATTCATTCTGTGTTTTCTTTTCCTGTAGAATTAGTTCCTTCCAACATGTGACAGCTTTGGGGTTGGAAACTCCCCAGCTGCTGTTCCAACAGAGCCTGGTAGTTTTAGCCAGTATTGGCAGCTTTCTGGAACTAGGGTCACATGTTGCCACTTTGTCCAGAATTGTTTTCTATGTCATCTTTTCTCATTGCATTAAAGGTTCTTCCCTGTCACTATTTTATAGAAGCAGGTCCCCAGAAGGAGTAATTTATGAAGAAGAAAGGAGTCTAATTAACTTGTAGGGCCCCAGATAACTGAAATAGCAGGGTCCAAGTAGAGAAAAATACCATATATGTTTGCTTGTCTCAAAGTTCTGGGGCTGTTCTTGTCACTAATTAAATACTTGAGTGAATGAATGACTATGTTTGACTATATTCATTGAAAAAAATAACACTTTTTGGTAATTAAAACTTGATAACAAGATTAAATAATGTCACCACAATATAATTCAGGTTATCTCTTTAGGACTAGAAGATTCAGAAATCCCTCAGTGCCTATTGATTTTCACACTGGTATTTTACTATGAATGCTACCTCAGTTTCTTACTTCATGAAACATGGTGGTCTCTTAAGGGTCCTCTCAACTATGA